AGTGCAATGTTTTTAACTCCCTTGACAGTTTCTTGTTTCTCTATCAATTTAAAATTGAGATAGCATAGACTCAGACAGCTATGCTTCTTTGTAACATTTTAGTGGTTGCCCTAGAGTTTGCAGCACATTTACAGTTAATTCAACTCCACTTATAAATAAAACTACAGCATTTTAAGTGGAGTGTTATATCTTAAAATAATAAAATGATCCTAATTATTAATACCTTCCTATGTCTTGTATCATTGCTGTCCTCTGTTCCAGTTTTTATAAGCATATGTGTGTCTATATAATGAACACAGAAATAATATAATATATAAGCATATATAATCTACTACATTGTTAATATTCTACTTTGAACCAACTTCTATTAATTAAGAATAAGAAAAATGAAAAGGCTTTAGTTTTTAGTTTACCTTCCTTTATTCTTTCTTCAATGCTCTTGCTTCATGTAGATCCATGTTTATAACCTATATCATTTTCCTCCTTATAGAACTTTTTAATGTTTCTTACAAGGCAGGTCTAATAGCAACACATTTCTTCAATTTTTGTTTGTCTGAGATGGCCTTTATTTCCCCTTCACTTTTGAAGAATAATTTCACAGAGGATGGAGTTTTAGGTGGATAGGGGGTTTTATTGCTCAATTCTTTAATTGTCAATATAATAGTTCACCTTCACTCTCTTCTTGCTTCTGTAGTCTCTGAAGAGAAGTTGGATAGAATTTTATTTTTGTTCCTCTGTAGGTAAGAAGCTATTCCTCTTGTTTTCTTTCAAGATTTTTTTCTTTATCTTTGATTTTCTCTATTTTGAAAATGATATGCCTCAGTGTAGTGTTTTGGTAATTGGCCTGCAAGGTGTACCCTGATCTTCAGGGATCTGTGGTTTGGAGTCTGATATTCATTTGGGGAAATTCTCTATCATTGCTTTTTCAGATATTATCAGGTATTAATTCTCTCTCTCCTGTTCGCATTGTATGTGCACGAGTGCACTGTCAGTTGCTCAGTTGTGTCTGAGTCTTTGCGACCTCATGGGCTGTAGTCTCCAGGCAAGAATACTGGAGTGGGTTGTCATTTCCTCTTCCAAGGAATCTTGCTGGCCCAGGGATCAAACCTGCGTCTCCCATGTCTCCTGCATGAGTAGGCGTGTTCTTTACCACTGAGCTACCTGGGAAGCCCTCCCATTAGGTATATGTTACACCTTTTGTAGTAATCCCACAGTATTTGAATATTCTATTCCTTAAGTTTTTGTTCTGTTTGCTCTTTGGATTTTGATGTTTCTATTGCTAAATCCTCTGACTCAAAGGATCTTTCCTCAGCTGTACTCAGTCTACAAGGAATCCATCAAAAGCTTTCATCATTTCTATTAAGATTTTTTTTTTTTAATCGCTAGCGGCATGTTTTGCTCTTTCATAGAATTCCTAGCTCTCTGTTTATATGGCCCATCTGTTCTTGCATGCTGTCTACTTTATCCATTAGATCCTTAGCATATTAATCGTAGTTGTTTTCAACTGCTGGCCTGTTGGGGTCTAGCCCCAGCAGGATCCAGGGGAACCCTCAGGATGAATGGCATCGGCAAATGAGAGAGAGAGAGAGAGAGAGAGAGAGAGAGAGAGAGAGAGACCAGACCAGGATGTGCAGCAGAGTCTGGCAGTTGCTTTATTTTTGACCGTAGCCTTTATACCCTAAGTTGGTACATTTCTAAGGGGGAGATAAGCACACAGACTTAGTTTAACATTATATCAGCTTGTCCTTCATGAAACCAGGTGTTCTCTGTATATTTTTGTTTATGAGAGTCTTTTCCCATAGATTTTTTGTATATTATCTTTTGGCCTTGAGGTTAGCAGAAAACAAAAATGGCAGTCTCATGGTACAGCCGGTTGCAACATAATAGAAATACAATCCTGTTAACACAAAAGTCAGTCTTTTTGCAGAAATTCTCAGCTAAATTTATCTAAAAAGTTTAGCACACAAAGACTCTGCGGCTCTGGTGAGGGAGCCCGTGTTTAGCACTCCTGGTTAAAATTAACAGTTATCTTATTGTTCTTACACTAGGGCTAAACCCTTATTTTTCTGGATCTTTAACTATATTAACAATAGTTTCCACTGCACAACCTTAGCACATTAACATCAATCAAACGTTGATCCAATAACCACTTTTAAAACAATATTTTTTGTGTCCTCTAATAGGGCTTCCTCACCCCTCAAAGGGCTCTGTGCCTATTAGGGCCTTTTTTATGGTTAATTTCTATGTATAATATCTTTTGGCTTTCAGGCCTGTTGACAATTTATGGCTTGTACCTGGTGTAACTTTAAGCAACTTCAGTAGCCAACCCTGTCTTTTTTGTGGTTAATCTTCTTTTTTAATTAGGTGTCATCTCTATGGGAACTAGATAAGATTACATTATTATGAAACAGAAGTGCGAAGGACTGCAAAAACAGCAGATATGGCACAAAACAGGCTCTTAGTCTAAAAGTTAACTACCTGTAAGAAGTCGCCAGCTAACCTCTATCTAAAGTATTTTCTATTAGGCACATTTGTGACTATTATTTGTGGAGCTTTTCTCACCCCACGGAGGGACCTATGCTTAATAGTTTCTTTTGTTAGTGTACCATGCTTGGGATGTTTAGAACAATCATGAGCATTTTTTGCAATCGGAGCACACATTTATCAAACAAGTCAGAATGCCAACAAAACTGTTTGAATTGAAGCATTTCTTTCATCCCTGGCCCCTTCATAGCATACCAGCGTCCAGGAGATTTATTAATTAGGATTTTAAGTTGGTCTTTATTCAGTGAAAGAGGAGCAGGAGAGCTCTCAGCAGGCAACACAAGAATCCGCAGCAGGGCGAACAAGAACAACAGCAGAAAAGGGGGGAGGACACAGGGTGGGGCAGAGGCCGAGGCCAACCTGGAGGGTCCCTTGTATCCTGAACGGCCTCGTGTGCCAGGTTTTTTCCTCATGACCTCGTCATGGGTGGGATCTCCCATAATGGCTCCCAGCACTGGCCTGATCATTCCACTATTCTTGCCGTGTCTCATTCTGATGCTTGTTGTTCCATCGCTGAGTTGCATCCAACTCTTTGCGACCCCATGGACTGCGCATCACTCCAGGCTTCCATGTCCTCCTCTGTCTCCCAGCGTTTGCTCAAATTCATATCCATTGAGTCGGTGATGCCATCCAACCATCTCATCCTCTGCCACCTCCTTCTCCTCCTGCCTACAATCTTTCCCAGCATCAGTGTCTTTCTAATGAGTCATCTCTTCCCATCAGGTGGCCATAGTATTGGCGCTTCAGCTTCAGCATCAGTCCTTCCAATGAATATTCAGGGTTCTTTCCTGTAGGATTAACTGTTTTGATCTCTGATTAAACATGGTCCACTGGAATAGGGAATGTCAAACCACTGCAGTATTCTTACCTCGAGAAACTCAATTCTGATCCTTTCTTCAAATTGTGACTTTTTGCCTTTTTGGCATGCCCTGTGGTTTTTTGTTTGTTTGTTTGTTTTTTCCCTTGGACATGATGTACTTGGTAAAAGAAACTGCTGTAAACAGGCCTTTCATGGTGTGATGTAGAGGTGTGTGGGAGGGCATTCAGGATTTCCCTCCCCACTTTGGTTGGGCAGGATGGTTACCATGGGCTCAGGTCAGGAAATCCCTTCTCTTAGGTCTCTTAGGCTCAACGGGATACACCTGAGCAGGTGGGCTCTGGTTAACCAGGTTCCCCAAAGGGCAGGCCTTGTTGATGGGAAGAACAAGGCATATTTTAAAATTTCTGTCCTCCTCCTGCCAAGAACACAAGAGAATTTTTCTCTGGTCTCTACTCTGGGAGCTTTGTTGAGCTTCTGGAGATAAACGTCACAATAAAATTGGAGCCTCTTTATGACTGAATCCTTGGAGGCCTTTTACCTCTCAGACTTCCCTGCTCTGAGCCTCCAGCAGTTTGTCAGTTACAGTTCAGAGTTCCTACCCTGGACAACTGGTTGCCGGCATTTCTGCTCATGAATTCTTGCTCTGGTAAGCCTGGGCTCCTGTTTCCCCCATCTGTCTCGCCTGTCCTATGTCTGCTCCTCTCTTCTGCATCCATGAAGTGTTGTTGAGTCTGTTCAGCTTTTTATCTGCTGTTAGGACAGAAAGGAACTTTCCAAGCTCCTTCCAGGATGAACCAAAAAACAGAAGCCTTAGATTTAAATGAAATAAAACTAGAAAAGATTTACAACACGGATTCTTAAAAAAGCTTGAGTAAGCATATGTAAATTGCTCTTAAATGCAGATTGTCTTGTAAAATCTCTGAAAATCTGTTTCAAAATGTAAGAAATACAAATGATAAATGTATGTAAATTAAGTTTGTTATTACTCAAGAGAAGGGAAATTAAAGTTTGAATAATCTGTATTTTTACCAGCAAATTTCAAAATATTCTATAATGCTTCTGGGGATGTTAGAAAACTATCTACTAACTCTAAAGATATTCTGGCAACTTTATTTTCAGGGATTATCCCCCCTCTTCCAAGTATACAAACCTAGGAATCTTAAGCAAGCAAATACGTTTATTAAGATTGTTTACAAGATAGAAAGTTAAAAATAACCTAGAAATATATTTTGATCAAATACTATAAATTGGAAGGTCATGGAATAATATCAACCATCAGAAGTAAATGAAGTAATGCCTTTTTTATTCAATTATGTTTGATAAAGTCAAATTATAAGGCAGTATGTATATTATCAGTATATATATCTGCATAGAAATGTTTAAGCTCTTAGCTGTGGTTTTTGCTGAGAGGTGAGACTGTACTTTTTATTTCTGTGTTGCTTACTTTTTATTATGAGTATGTTTCATTTCTCTAAATGAAATAAAATAATCATTTGATAAAATCTTGCTGCTGAAGCGTTCTCTGGAGCATAATAACAAGAGAGACTAAAGAAACACATTCACATCCTATTAGCTGTTCTAGAAGTGGAAGTGGTTTTTATGCAGACACTAACCCCTTTTCCTTTTCTGCTGATAGGGAAAGGGGAACATGGAAAACCTTACCCCCTCACTGAGGAGGACCATGATGACTCAGCTTACAGGGAAAATGGTTTCAATATTTTCGTCAGCAACAACATCGCTCTAGAGAGGTCCCTGCCAGATATCCGGCACGCCAAGTGAGTGTCCGCTCGCCTGTGTGCAGGCTGCTTCCCTTGTCTGTTTTGGTTCATTATGTTTCATGTATATAACGGTGAGTTATACAATTAAAAACTTTACCCTATTAATTTTATAGAAGCCATTTATATTCCATTATTTTATATATACTTTTGGGTTTGGGGGGGTTTATTGAGGTATAGGGGCTTCCCTGGTAGCTCAGAGGTTAAAGTGTCTGCCTGCAATGTGGGAGATCTGGGTTCGATCCCTGGGTCAGGAAGATCCCCTGGAGAAGGAAATGGCAACCCACTCCAGTAATCTTGCCTGGAGAATCCTATGGACAGAGGAGCCTGGTGGTCTATGGTCCACGGGGTTGCAAAGAGTCAGACATGACTGAGCAACTTCAGTTTCAGTTTTTAGTTTTCATTGAGGTATATAGATAACTTACAATGTTGTGTTAGCTTCAGATGTATAGGTATATATGTATATATGACTGAATTACTTTGCTGTGATGTCATCAACTCAGTGGAATTGAGTCTGAGCAAACTCCAGGAGACAGTGAAGGACAGAGAAGCCTAATGTGCTGCAGTCCATGGGGTCCAAAAAGAGTCAGACATGACTCAGCGACTGAACAACAAATGGTCTATATATACACACATAGCTTCAGATGTTTAACATATATGTATATGATGAATTACTTTGCTATACATCTATAAATATGCATCTATCTATCTGTATACTATTTTTCAGATTCTTTTTCTTAATGAAACTTTTAGTTACCAAAGGGGAAAGGGTGTGGAGGGATAAATTAGGAGTTGGTGCTATATACATTACTATATATAAAACAGACAACCAACATAATCTTAAGGTATTATTTATTTAACCTGAAATAACCTCTAAAATTCCAAAAGATTAACTCTTGATGCTCAGAAGCTTAATACCCATTTTCCTTATTGTGTTGGTGGTATGATCTCCATTTAAACTGAAACACTTTCAGATGACATCTGTACCTTTGCCTTTGCCTTTGCCTTTTCTTAGTGACTAGTGCTGTTAGAACAGTCTGCCTGTGCACGCCGTGGACTGACTGCATCCTCATGTCAGCCATTATCAGTGCCATTACTGTTACATTTTCTATAGCAAATGCCTGAAGTGAACACATCCATCATCTCAAGGGAATGGTTGGTTACTCCCATCACTTAGGAATTGCTTGTGGCTTGTCAGCTGACAGTGCATTCAGCTTTTACTGAAATGAAGCTAAACATTAGAGTCTGAATGGAAACAAGAAGACTATTACCTACAGTTGGAGGAAAGCCTTTTCTCTGGCCACCCTTGGCTAATCCTGGCCTTGCTTAGTGTACCCTTTTTCTAGTCTGATACAATCTTCTTTTTAGCATATGCAATGCCCAAAGTATGCCGAGAACATGAATGTGATCAGAATTTGCAGCGGTGGTGCTGTCCTGCATACTTGATAAATCTATCCAATTAACATAATACACTGACCTCAGCATTTCATCCTCCTTTAGAAACACTGGTGTGAAAGAAGGAAAATCAGAGAAGATTAAGGGCATACTTAGGACTAGGACTCTATGTTAAACCAGTAGCATACCTTAAATAAACCTTTGTGCAAAAGCAGTTAGCCCTTTAGGAACAAAAAAATCAGTGAATTCTGATTTGGCCAACTGTTTGTTAGTTGCTTTGCTATATTGTGTCTCTATAGATTTTATTTTAAAATATAAAGACAACAGTTTTCTCCTTCAGTTTTATGTGAATTTGCATTTTCTAATATGGTTAACCAAAGGATTCATGTGAAGAAAAAATTAATTTTCCCCTAAACTGAATGCTTATGTATTATCTAGGCCTTCTATCTAGCAAAATTATTCCCTTGTCACCTGAAATTATCTACGGTAATTTCTACTGACCAAGAATGTTTCCGCTTATGAGAAATTTTAATACCTAATTGCACACCATCAAAGATGCATTAAATTGCATTGTTGGCATAATATCCTCAGAGCATAATTTCTATCCACCTCCTCCCCCACCCCCACACTTCCAGTCTTTTTATGTTTATGCAAGTGGAAAAATTTGCAGATGGAAATAGTGTAGAAAATCACTGAAGTCAAAAGAAGGTTGATATTCTCATTCTTTGCATAGAGTATATTTTTAGGGTAACTACTACCTTTTGAGATGAGACATTCCTAGGCAACAATGGAAAAGAAAATGGAAGAATGGAAAGCAAGACATTTTGAAAATTTTATCAGAACTACTAAGTTTACAGTATTGGAGGTTATTTCTTAAATGTTAGGGATGAAGAATGTAGCTAAAACATGGTGTGTGAAATGGTATTCTTATTTCCTGAAGCTTGAATGTCTAATAGGACGGTGATCTAGTAAAATAATAACAAAAAGGGAAAACAAATAATCTTAACAGAAGATTGGAGAAGCATGCCAGGCAAACGTTAAGAGTGAGATCCCAGGAGTGGCCATTTCCTTGGTCAGTCCCGTGTCTGACTCTTACAGAGGTAGGAAGGTAGGTGAGACAGTGCCTCTGGTTTTTGTCAAGGTACCACCTGCTGGAAACTGGAAACCAAATAAAGTCTTACCGGGATCCCACTGTTTAAAGTCCTGTGCTTTTCTAACACATATATATGGAATTTAGAAAGATGGTAACGATAACCCTATATGCAAAACAGAAAAAGAGACTCAGATGTATAGAACAGACTTGTGGACTCTGGGAGAAGGCGAGGGTGGGATGTTTCAAGAGAACAGCATTGAAACATGTATATTATCTAGGGTGAAACAGATCACCAGCCCAGGTTGGGTGCATGAGACGAGTGCTCGGGCCTGGTGTACTGGGAAGACCCAGAGGGAGGTGGGAGGGGGGACCGGGATGGGGAATACATGTAAATCCATGGCTAATTCATTTCAATGTATGACAAAAACCACTGCAATGATGTAAAGTAATTAGCCTCCAACTAATAAAAATAAATGGAAAAAAAAATAAATAAAGTCCTGTGCTTTTGACCTTGGCTATGCTTCTCAAAATACAGGAACAGAAAATAAGAGCATGCAACGCAACTCTATCCTTGAAAATGTCAAAGCAGCTGGACACAGATTCCAGTGTTTTCAATTTAATGTAGCTATAGGTAATGGACCATAGCTTGTTTGTATGGACAGAATCTATGGAAGAGAATGCAGAATCTGTATAACTTTTCTAGTCAAATGTAACAAGTCTAAGAGACTTTGTATTTACAGTCAACCAATTCCAACTACTGGCTGAGTTTATCCAATTACTCAGAGTTTATTTTTTGTGTGTTTTATGATTTTGCAATGCAAAATATCAGGGAATACTGTCTTGCAATTTTGTTGAACTAGATCTTCATTCCAAAACACATCATTGTGGTTCTCGATCCACTGTTCTACAATATAGATCACTTTCTGTGTATATACTGGTGCTCTATTCCTGCTCATGTTCTCAAAAAATTTCATGATTCTAGGTGTTGTGACATGCATAGTGCACAAATCTAGTCTACTGTGGAGAATATTTAGAACATGAATTATAGCAGAAATCCCAATCCAGACAGCACTTTTATTTGTCCTGTTATTTACTTCTTCACAAGCATAAAACCGAATATCTTCTTTGGCATCATTGTTTCATTGAGTAATCAGTTTAGTTCAGTCATTCAGTCATGTCTGACTCTTTGCGACCCCATGGACTGCAGCACGCCAGGCTTCCCTGTCCATCATCAACTCCTAGAACTTGCTCAAACTCATGTCCATCAAGTCAGTGATGCCATCCAACCATCTCATCCTCTGTCATCCCCTTCTCCTCCCACCTTCAGTCTTTCTCAGTATCAGGGTCTTTTCCAGTGAGTCAGTTCTTTGCATTAAGTGGCCAAAGTATTAGAGCTTTAGTTTCAGTGTCAGTCCTTCTAATGAATATTCAGGACTGATTTCCTTTAGGATTGACTGGTTGGATCTCCTTGCTATCCAAGGGACTCTTGAGAATCTTCTCCCTCACCATAGTTCAAAAGCATCAGTTCTTTGGCACTCAGCTTTCTTTATAGTCCAACTCTCACATCCATACATGACTACTAGAAAAACCATTGCTTTGACTGGATGGACCTTTGTTGGCAAAGTAATGTCTCTTCTTTTTAATATGCTGTCTAGGTTTGTTATATCCTTTCTTCCAAGGAGCAAGCATCTTTTAATTTCACGGCTGCAGTCACCATCTGCAGTTAATTTGGAGCCCCCAAAAATAAAGTCTGTCACTGTTTCCATTGTTTCCCCATTTATTTGCCATGAAATGATGGGACCAGATGCCATGATCTTCATTTTTTTAATATTAAGCCAGCTTTTTCACTCTCCTCTTTCATCTCCATCAAGAGGCTCTTTAGTTCCTCTTTGCTTTCCACCAAAAAGGTCATGTCATCTGCATACCTGAGGTTATTGATATTTCTACCGTCAATCTTGATTCCAACTTGTGCTTCATCCAGCCTGGCATTTCACATGATGTATTCTGCATATAAGTTAAATAAGCAAGGTGACAATATATAGCCTTGATGTACTCCTTTTCCAATTTAAAACCAGTCTGTTTTCCCCATGTCTGGTTCTAACTGTTGCTTCTTGATCTGTATTTGGGGTCAATCTGAGAGAAACCTGAGTTTGTCCTGTCATTAGAGCATCTTCCCATTGTATCTAATATAATGTCCATAAGAACTTTACTATGAGAGCTTCTGCATGACATATGGCAGTCACTGGCTGGCCTGGCTTCATTTTACAGACTTTTGTTTTTCTCCACCTGTATTTACAGACTTTAGTTTTCCTTCACCTGTCTGATATAGCAGTATAATCTGCTATATATTGGAGTATAGCAGATTAACAAATGTTTGACATTTTCAGGTGCATAGTGGAGGGACCCAGCCATATGCGTGTATCCATTCCCCGCAAATGCCTCTCCCATCTAGAATGCCACATAATGTTGAGCAGAGTTCCATGTGATACAGTAGGTCCTTGTTGGTTATCCA